GGCATGTCAAATACCAAAAGAACACATTGATCATCCCCAGTGTGTAATGTCACTTTGTTCATTTAGCATATAAATATTACCTCCAAACTCTATTCTGAATCAATATACATTTAAATGTAGCTTTGAAGGCGATATATTATGCATGTAAGTTACAAGAAAAAGTGGAAATTTAACCATTAATCAATTATTTTATGGTAAGCAACGATCAGAAACCCATACTGTGCAATCAATTGTTTTCAATATTTAAAGCCAAGTTGGTCACAACAAAGACCAAAATGTTCAAACCACATGCTGGGGAAATCTGAAATTAAAACAACTTAAAAAAATAACTAGTTTTCTATTTAAAAAAATACCAAGATTCTCTATTCTTCCACTGAGTTTCCCTCAAATCGTACTTTGAATTTTCTTAATTTGGTTGAAAGCAAATTGTAAAAAATTACAGTTTTTTGAAACAAAGCAATGTATCAGTGAAAATTACATTCAACAAGGCCAGGTGTTTTATAGTAAAACTGACATTACTCTAAAAATATTGTTAGTAAGTTACAAAAAGTGTCACTCATATCTACCCAAGATTCTAGCTTAAGTCTTTAACCAATGGCTTCTACAACTCTTCAGGAAAAAGCTTCACTGCAGCAGGATTTAACATGCAACCCTTTCCATTGTTAATCATGTATTCAACAAGATGACCTAATCCTGATCTTTCTCATACAATCAAAATCCAAATTCTCCTCATAATTCCTTGAAAGACCCAGTGAGAATTCAAAGTTTAATCAGCTACTTGGGGGTAGACATAATTAACATGGGTTTGATAGGATCTTAGGGCCTATCAAATTTCAATGCAATAAAAAGCTAAAATCTTACAATCATGGAAATGTGTGGCTAACATGAAGCCCTGTCTGAAGATCGGATCATGACTGAGTCTTAGGCCTTAAAGCAAATGAAAATAAAATTTAAATAATAAGTGTTTGCATGCACAGGAGTTTCAAAGCGCATAGTACATGTAAATAAAGAAGCTACCGGTAAATTTACAATCCAAAAAACAAAATATACCCTGAAAATGACAAAATAATGAACTCTGCACTCTGCATATACTTTTCTAGTCAATTAATTTTTGTAAAATACTGTAGCAGGTGCACTCTTAAATGAAAGGAAAAGTTTAACAATAAACACTTAAGGTTTTTCTGCTCATTTCAGTTTATATGATTCAACAAAATCATCACTGTAATCAAAAGAAAAATATCATCTAACATTCTTAATACGGAAGGCAAATCAAGGCACACTTGAGGAGGAACTGAAATTATGATTCAAAAATCTTCCTCACAATTGACAGTAAAAAACTATAATGATAATTTTTTTACTATGGCTTTGCTACAACTTTCCCCATTTCCTTCAAGGAATAAGAAATTCTTGTTGAACAAGGAAATTCTTATAACTTGACAACACAAAAAATATTTGTCAATGAATGATATACATTTTGTATTACACATGAAAAGCATTTTTGACTGTAGACAAACAGGTATGAATATCTGTATGACAGTTGTATACAATTTTTAATTCAGACCAGTGTATTTCAATACAAAAAAAACACTCAAAATAAAAAGACCTTTAAATCAATTCCTCAATTGACGTGATATCAAAGTGGAAGAAAATTGCCACTCAAGCTGCATGTATTGTGCACAAAACCACCTTGTATGGATACATAGTCTATTGGGAAAACCTTGTAGAGTAAAATGTACCTGTAATAATCATAATTAAAAATTAACTCTTTACCGCCAATTGCCTCATATAATTTGGTGGTGTAATTGAACTTAGAAATACTCTCCATAATGTTAGCATCGTTGTATGCATATATAAGACTAAGTTGTATGGAAATATTATTTTCAGCATTATAATTTGTGAAAAATCATCCATGAATGAACAGACATGCAAACATTTTTAAAGAAAAATCTAGCAACATAATTAATTAAAAGCGGTTGAATTTTGAATATTTTCCAATATTAGCAAGTCTACATTATAATCAGCAAAGAAGCTACTAAATTATGGTAAAAATTCTAACAGTATAAAACAAAACTGACCTCTAATTAAAGCTTGACCTCTGTTTAAAATGTCTATTAATCGAAGATCTTAGGAGAAATGAAGACAGACGAGGCAGCATGATCGAGGTCATTAAAACACAGCCTCAGGGAAAAATGTCCTTTGCTGGTTGAATCTTGAACATAAATGTTCTCTTAAAGTCATTTACCCTTTTACAAACCAGCAAAACAAAGTACAAGTCAAAATCGAACATAAAGCAGTTTTGACTGCTAAAATGAAGTGGCCACAAAATATAGCTACTGGCATGGTGCGAAAAGCACAACTTAAAGCTACATGCTAAACAAAGAACCTACCAAAATATTTACAAACAGAGGAAATGTGGTCTAAACTACAGCAACCAGAATAAGTATGCTTGAATTTGAATAATTGAAATAGAACCAAAATTTGAATGTAAATACAAAATGGCAAAATGTCTAGATGATAACTTTTGAAAAAACCAGGTAGGAGAGTTCAAAATACTCTGTGTTTACTGTTAGTAAATACAATCAATTCACACATGACTAGCTGTAGCCAACCAAGGACAGATTATCAAAATTTTTGCTTAAAGACTTATTTACCCAAGTAATCAATTCACCTTACTGATGTCAATGCAATTTATCCCAATGTAAATTGGTTGGTTCAAGAACTTGAATAAATAAATCAATAGTTTTTCATCATAAGGCCATCAAATCCAACGTTAGCAAAATGGTTTGTGACAGCAGTTGGCTTTTTGAAGTTCCTTCCTGTCTAAAATCTCATCTGCATAATGTCGTGTGAGTTGATTTTCCTTTGTTATGGTTATAATAAAAGACAAGAAAACAATAGCCAGGATCATTAAAGTTTGGCCTTGAGCAATCAACTGACCAATAAAGTGACTGACTCAACATGTGTATTGAGAATACACTGTATAACACTGCATTAAATAATAACTTTGCACTGTGCTGGGCTGCATGAAGTTCTATGAAATAAGCCACTACACAAACAGCTGTTCCGATTCAATGGAACATTTCTTCCAGTACACAGTCTTCAAATCGCCAACGAGGTAAGATTCCAATGAGATTCTCACAAAATAACTCTTTGCTTTCATCGAGCTGAAATTGTTAAAATGATATTCATATAAAGCCAAGAATTAACCTAGATCAAAATTTCAGAAATCAGTGAAATACACTGTACTTGACATTTGCCCTAAAATGAACTCAAAGTATCAAAAGAAGTGAACATAATATCAGATTTAAAATAAAATTTAAATCTCATAAAATACTTTGATGGGCTTACAACCAAAACAGTATAGAAGAGAATGATTAAGTGATGCATATAATTTTGAAAAGCAACCTAAAATATAGGCAGCTGTGAAATCACAAATGAGATGGCGCTAGTGTATGAATTTAAAAAAAATAATTTTCTTTGGTAACTCCATAAAATTTATTGTTCAGTGGTAAGACTCGCAAATCAGCTCAATACTTAAGATCTGCTTTTCTTATCAAATTTAGAACAAATGCACAGATTTCCGATTGAAAGTAAATTGCTATTTATAAAGCCTTTCATTGTTGAAGTCAACATACACTGTCACATCAGAATTTGGTTCAACTACAGTATGTCATGAACAGTTTTGATTTAAGAAATTAAAACACCAAAAAACTGCCTAAAGCAGAAAGCAACTCAAACTCTAATTCATTGTTTGAAATGAAAATGCCTATCAAGTAAATTCATGTACATCTATATTTATCTGTCAAAACCTACATGTAAGACTGCAGACTAAAATTAATACTAAACAATAAATACAATATTCAAAACACATCATATTCATGTATTTGCAAACTTAACACAGAACCAATGCCACACAATTTTGAAAACAAAAATTATTTCACTGCATGGTTAATTCAATTTAACAACCTCTTCAATGTGATATGTTTGTATATTTATGTTAGCTATTCAATATTACATTGTACACTCAATCTACAGTCAACAACAAATTAATGTTCAGGTCTACAATGGACTTAACTGAGTGCTGTCAAAGGTGGTGAAATAAGCATTTAAATTTACCACGATGGCAAATAACGATTAACTATCAAGTCTTTTATGTTCAAACATATTGTTAACAAGAAATCTCAGTCAATGACTACACTGACAATAGCATACATATTTATACATACATAAAGCTCTTCACACCAACCTTTATCATGAGTTATGGAAATTAACCTGTAAATGTTATGAGCCACAACCTTACAAATCACCTTTTTCACCATAAGATTGTCTTTGTAGGAGAGATAAAAGCCCCACGGGCCAACATTTTTTGTTTACTTTATCAGCAACAAATCAAAGCCGGTTATACTAAGAAAAGAACGGCTCATCTCTTAGAGAACATGATAGCTGCATACATGAAAAGCTTTCAATGGAGAAGTTGTTACCACAAAAATCTCAAAAATGTCATGCAATACTTGGGTAACAGAGACAAGAGCTCAAACAAAGTTATCCAGAAATTGAGACAAAACTGCAAAATTGTGCAATGCAGTAATCCCTTAGCAATGACAGTTTTCAAATCCATGAAGAGTGGTTTTGTGAAAAAGGTTTAAGATACAATCTTGTGTGACAGAACTTTTGAATTCAGAGACTGTTTGAACTTGTGTGAACTGGAACAATAGTCTGACATTTATCTCTTCAAAGAGAGTTTCGGGTTTCACTTTAACAATGTATGGACCATTGTTAGAGTTTGTCAACAAATCCAGACACTCAAACTTCACCCGCCAAGGAGGGTGAAGTGCTGCAACAAGCATGCACAGTGACAGCATTATCAACAGCAGTTCTGTGTCAAAGATACATGTAGTCTGCCTGCCCTAACAGTTGACTGTCAAAGATCTCAAATCTGCAGCTGCCATTGACAACAGCTAATTAAGCATATGCAGAAAATCAGCAAATGGGAGAAGGTAAAATGTGAAAAAATAATGTGTTGATTTAAGAGATATGTAAAGCATTGATACTAAGTCAAAATACCTGTGGTACTAAAACAAAATAAGATAAACTAGAGAAAGGTATGTTATGATCTGAGCATTTTACCAAAGAAGTCTTAACATGTTTCATGCTACATTTGTGATAATAAGGCATGTTAATACCTCAAATAGCAACTTTGAACTCCCAAAGGATGCTCTGCTTCGCTCCCAAAATCCGTCAGGTTTTAGTAGATAAACAGTGTGTATTTTAGCTACAAAACACTCCTGAAAGATGCACACAAAGCAATGAAAATCCATTAGTATCAGTATATTTCTATTCTACAAAGGAACAAACAAACTCACGTAGAATATTCATGTACATGTAGCGGTTTGCAACAAGACAATTACGCTAAAATTGTCTTCGGCTGCTAAATTTAGAAAATTAATTGCTTAAAGCAATGTCAAAAAAATTATGGCTCATGGATGACAGTGGGCATGTTTAACAGCTGCTTCATACATGCAATTTAGTGGAAGCCCTGGACATCACAGATGATTAACGTTTGACTGACATTAGGTGTACATTTATTTGTTAACTAAAGACATTATGTACAGAGTTAAATACACATTATTTGCTGCATGGTCACCTTTGTACAATGATTCTTTGTACTCTCAAATCAGTGAAAACTGAACAAAAAGATTGGAATAGAATGATGTATACTTCTTTTTTGTACTTGATATTAAAATCTCCATTGATTATCACAAAATCACCATGGGCAGTAGAATTGCTGTCAGTGTTTCAACTAATCAACTGGTCAATCAATCAATATGAAATTCAATTTCACTGTTCTTCTATAATGCATGAAATCAACAAATTTCAACAAATGTGCATTCATCAATTTCACAAGCCAGGGCAATATTTTTATTTTATAACTATCCCAGAGACAAAACAAAATAATTTTACATACAAAAAAGCTAATACATGAACGTCAAAGGAAAAACGTCAGTCAAATTTTAACTTCTAATTGGACAGGTCAAGATTGACAAAAGGAAAGCAATGCATTGATCATGGTAATTTGTACCTTAAAGTTGTATTTTCATATTATGTTTACATGTACATGTGCACCTATGTTGTGGTTTTAATTTGATTTGTTACTTGTTGAAAGTTTGACATTTTTTAAATGATCTTTTGTCTCATTATTCATTATCAATAGTAATCTGAAACAAAGGTGAATAATAAGTATTAAAGTCAACTAATCGATAACATCATTTTCAAACCAAAAACAAGTCTACAGTAAACCACAATGAACAGGCCCACCTTTTCTTTTTTTTTTTTCTATTTTGAACTTCTATGAATCAAAAGCAATATAATTTTTAACCTCATCCCAACACAACTAAATCCAAAAAGTTGTAAGTTTACTTTGAATTTCAATAAGTAAACCCACCATTGATAATGATTCAATTGAACACCAGAGTGCAAATGAGCAAGTTCAAAGAACAAGACTTGTCGGAGACATGGTGCATGTTTGGGATGGGTTAGTTAACTACATATACATGTAAATGTTAACATCCCTGTTACCGTAGAACCAAGCTACAGTACAAACCTGGGAGCTTGGTTCTCTGATTGGCTAAAATGAACTCTTGAAGACAAACAGTATAAACTTATAACTGAACTCAACACTTGGAGCATCAATGGAGTGGTTTTTACCGAGTGTCAAAGTAATCAGGCAATATCTTTGGTTTTGGTTTTGGTTTTGGTTTTAGTTTTACTACTGTTTGAGATTGGCTGAGTCTACAGTCTAATTGGTAAGTACAGTAGTTGGACAGGTAAATTTTGCTTTTATGACACCTCAGTTGAAAACCCCTCTATTGGAAGAGACAATACTTATTGTCATATGGGTCCTTACCAGTAGTACAATAGAGCTCCAAGCACTGGTTGTAACATGCAGTGGTGAAAAACACCAGTGAATGGTGTGTTAATTAAAGGAGGCAATACTTATTAGGTGAACATGCGACCCTCGAGCAGGGATCAATATTCATTGGAAACCAACCTTACAACTGCTCCATTAACAAGCAAGACAGTCCCAAACATTAAATATGACCCCCGTTTTTAGATCAAACAAAAGATCACTCTTTTTTTGTAATTGAAAACGCCTTTAATCTGACCACTCTGTTAATAAGACTGGTGACCACCTGTCAGAGTCCACAAACTTCATTTCTTTATAAAATACATGTAAGTTTACTTCATTAACGTGAACACTTGAAAAAAAAGGTAAGTAAAAAAATAAAAAAAAAACTAACTAAAAATTGTGTCAAATTACAAATTGGGATTAGAGCAAAGTATCACAATTTGAACTACCCAGTAAAAACAAAAATACAGTCCTGGCCTGAGTTGTTTGAAAGATGGATAGTGCAATCCACTGCATAAATCACTATCACTATCCAGCGAATAGCTCATGCAGGTTTGTTTTGTTACTGTAGTAACTCTTATCCACTGGATAGCGATTTATCTGGTGCATAGCATTAGAGAGCTTAAGCACAGACGTTTTCTAGTCACGGACGTCAACCGGAAGTTGAAACTTCTCCTCTTCGACAAGCATTACTCCCTTTTCATTGAAAATGTCAAGTTGTAAATGCTAAAATGAGAGCTTTGTAACTCACTTGTCAGGCATGAAAACAAGCTTAAGGCAAAAACATAAACTTCCGGTTGACGTCCATGGCTCAAAAATGTCTGTGCTTAAGCCCTCTAATATCCAGCCTTTGAACAACTAGGGCTGGTAATTTGTTATCCAGTGAAAGTCATATAAGAGGTGTCAAAATACTGAACGTCAAATGCTTCAGTCAGTATTGGCAAAGCAAATCAGAATTAAGGGAATGAAACAAACCTGTAAAGCTTTTAGCATAGGCTTGGCTGAGAGCCAAGTGGAGCCTCGCATGTCCAGCACAAGACTAAATCCAAGTTCTCGTTCATGATCGCTGAAATTAAACAAACAAAGTAATGTTACTTAATAATACAGCTTAACCCTGTTATAGTTGAACCCCACTATTTTGAACTCTGAGAGGAAAAGAAATCAGTAGTAATCGGAATAGCACGGGTTCAAAATAACTGGATCAGCAGTAAATATGAAAATAATGATTAATGCTAATTATTATGTAATCAAAATGATAGAATGTATTAATCTTTTTTAACTGACCAAGGGTTGGAAGAAAACACTTCATGACACTTCATTACAGTTCATTACAGTTTCGTACTGTATGAGATAATAGTGCAATGAAAAGCCCAAATTGAAGTTTTCCAGCTATGTTCTAACATGGTCTGATGTCACGATGATGTCTACCAATGGAGTTGGAAATAAACAGGGTTGATTTTAGGCCAAGGGAAACCCAAATCAGTTTGAGACAGCTGGAAGTTTGAAATAACCAAGAATTAGATCGAAATAGCTGATAATAAATGACAGAAAAACCAAGGGCAAAACCAAGGGCAAATCCAGGAAAAATCAGTTAAATAATGGGGAATCAAAAATAATCGAGTTCAAATTAATGGGATCCAACCATATTAATACTAAAAATGATTGTGCTGGACAGGTATCTCATCGGCAGCAGAAAGTAACACATACTCCAAGTCACTTAATGTAATAAAGCCAGAGTAAAGCAAAGCCTATGTGGAATACACGGGCATTGTGTCAAGAATTTACGTTTACTAATAGTTAAAAAATAGCTCTATTACATGCATCAATGTCCAAAGATCACAAGTACAGTATATGACCAATTTAACAGTGTTTTTACAGGATATTATAGGCCTATGCAGCTCACTGTCATGTGACTGACATTCACCAAGAGAGTTTGTACAGTGAAATTGAGGCTAGTGTCATGAAATTAGCATGACTGTTAATTTTGATGTTTGATGAAAGTTCAAATAAAAGATTTCTAAGGCCCAGTTGAACAGACATCATGCTTCTGCCATGTCGAACTAATTCAGGAATTAAGTTTGACAAAAGCACAACAGAATTAGAGCATCTGAATCAAACTTTTGATTAAAGTTTAGCAAGCAATTACATTCAAAAGTTCTGCCGTGCTACATGACCCTGGCACAGCAGCGATTCTAAAGTTGTGCTTCTGCCACGTCAAACGAAATTCATGAATTGTAATTAATGTATTTTGGCAGGATTGTGTTCCCATTGGGAGTTATGAGGAGAATTGTTACGAGGCTTCAGTAAATCCCGAATTTGGTATAACCCTGGCACAATATCTGAATCAGAGTTCTGTCTCTACCGTGCGCCCGTCAAACCTAATAATTGCAATTAAGTTTGGCACAGCAAAAGCACACGTTTGTCTGACCTGGACCTAAGAAAAGAAAGTCACTGGGTGAAAATAATTTTTTCATACTACACAAATCAAGCAAGTTGGATTTTTACACTGTAAGTAATTTGATCAAAAAATCCTAGAGCAAAGCACTAGATGGTGAGACATCATCCATTTTCTTATTAAGTTATACCAGAGCGGAAATCATAATTCCCTCTAAGTCTTTAGTATTTAGAGTTAAGAGTTGTTGCCTTGTTATTAGAAGGAATTTGTGAAATGTAAACAAAAATAAAGATTTGTTAACATTAATGGTGGTAACAACAACAGCTACAACATCTGATTGTCTGCTGGCTATGATAAGCTAGCTTAATCTAGAAAATAATAATTCTTTGCACGGCTCTTTGAATTTTTAAATTAGCTCATAACTTTTGCTAACCCTTCAACCTGTTCTTTACAGAGCTCTCAAGAGCCTCTGTAAGTGGATGCATAGTTAGTAATATAAACCTGATGGCATTGTCTCAATTTTACTTTGTTTTCTAAAATGCTAGCAGAAATAACAGATATCTACTCACTGACAGTGAATAAGCTAACCTTGTAAAACCTCTCAACAATGAGCTTGTACAACTGCTTGTAATCTTTCAAAATTACATTCATGACTTGTGCACATAAAAATATGACCATCTGAAATTTCTATAATCCCTTTTAATCATTCAAAAACCAGACAAATCTTTGTAAAGGCTCCTCATTGACTAGTACATACAATGTACGGCCTTGGATTATTGTTTCCTAAATGATTTGTTCCTATTTAAAGGTTCCTTAAACTTCTCAGACAAAAACACCATAAGGCGTTAATCATAAAATTTCATCTTACAAATTTAATTTAAATCTGTCATCACATCCTTTTCATTCTACAGATTTCAGAATTAGGAGAATTTAAAAATTGCTGGTGCAATGTAAAAATTGTCACAACTTCAAAATTTTAAACCATGCAAAAGATTCTGAGAGTGATAAATTTTACGAACACTTTTTTAAAATCTCTCAACACGACCTCTTACACATAATGCATTTCTCAAATTTAACAACTGAAGCAATTTTCAAATTATTGCTAAAATGTCAAAAAAATTCCCAACACTGTCAGATGTTATCAAATCTTCTCTATAGTCCAGAGCAAAAAATATCATGAATTCAATTTGGTTTGTAATGAATGCTGCAGCCATTTGCAATGCACTAAAACAAGAAAGTAAAACAGGGGTCAAAAGATTTCCCTGAATTGTGCATAATAACTTTAAAATTACCCTAGCTAGGAATTTAAAACACTTACAACTACAGCAAAAAAGTAATAAACAAGAATCGACTGTACCTCAATTATTTGAAGTTCAAACACAAATTTAAAACACGTGTGTATAAGCCATACTTCCGCAAAAAATGAAAAGGCAAGAAATCCCATGGAGAATATGTTCGCAGCTTGCTACAATAATTTTAAGGGATCAACATAAATTTTACTTAAAGTTACATTTTGTTTTGAATACAGTGCAAATGAGAAACAATTAATTGTGGGTTTCTGGAACCTCCAACAGAGACTTGTGTGATATGAAACCCAGTGTGATGCCTACAAAGTCCGAGTAGTTCTACAGATTGCAAGACTCACACATCTACTGGACAGAACCTGTTCAAAAGTCAACTGTATTGTGTTATGGCAAAGCACTTTGAAAGCATAAAAAATATTGCTTTTTCTAGCATTTTGACTCAATAAATCACTCCAAAAGAAACAGGTGTAATCTCTAGAAATTTGTAACATGCAAATTTAGTTACATGTATGTCAATAACATTGGTCACTTACATTGTGGCCAAAGATAATTTTCCCTCCTTGCAGCTATACAAAACAAAATTTCACCTCACCAGCAAAGTATACACTTTCAAACGCTATTTATCAAAAACACTTACTCCTCAAAATTTCTTACAACAATTGTTTGTATAAGCCGAAAAAGATTTTTCGGAATAAATAATTAATTTAATAAATCTTGAATAACCTGAAAGAGTTCAGAGTAATAAGGTACATTACTAGTGAGGGTAATTTAATTAACTCAATGAATTTTTTGCAATTTGATCCAATGATGACAGCCGCGGAAGAGTTCAAAGCTTGCAAAAAAAGTTTGTTGGAAATTACGATTCACAAAATAGATGGACATCATATTAAGTGTAGTAATAACAAAATGAGATCAAAATTTACGCGATCTAACGAAGTCAAATTACTTCTAAACTCGTTAAATTAAACCTCTTCCCGGTTTCGGAGCTGTTCTCGACGCAAAACAGACTTGGAATATGATATGCGGACGAAATGACCGATTGCGTGAATTGGAGGAAAAAGATCTCGTTAATTATTTAGTGAAAGAAATTTACAAAGGCAAAACATACGTACTAAACCCACTTGCAGACAGAAAACAAAACAAAATGGCAAGAAATATTCAGTAATCGCATTTTTTTACAGAACTCCATTGAGATGTAAACGCTCTTAAAACAACAAAGTCGGGAAGGTAAACAGCGCCAGAAAATTACTATACACAACAGTCGCAGACAGACGTGAATTTGCCGTCATGCAATAACATTTCCAGTGATCGACTGTTCGTCACGAAAATATGTATTCAGGATATTCACCGTTTTCGCGCATAAATTGTTCATTCTACTGGGAAAAAGCACAAAATGTGTGCGTTAAAATTGTTGATGTCTACAAATTATGCCTATGTGAACGACACATGCCCTGAGGCAAGGTTGACAGTTCGGTTGGAAAAAAACTTTTGACAACCGCTCAAAGAATGTTTACGCTATAAACTGCCATCTCTTATTAGAATCACTCAGCTTGTCTTAAGCAGATTCTACAAAGACCCGCTGTCCGGGTGTTCAATTACAGAAATTTCTTACAATTTTTATTGCGCAAATCTTCAAGTATCACTCCAAATTCAACTCAATATTTCTACAGAGGACAGATGGGCCTTTCGACAGCGCGTGACAGGCAACTGTCCCGCAGCACGCCTGTTCTCCCTATGTATGAATTATCATTTCACAAAATAATAAAAACAACCATTAAACTAACCACTTTCCTTATCAGGCTTTGCCATCTCTCAACATTATAATCGACTGCGCCGCACTTCAAAATGACAACTACAGATCAACTTCGCGAGTTTTCGTCTTTATATCAACAATACAGTGATAGAACACAAGACCCATAGTGTTCTCTTATTACATCGACTGTTGTTTTAAAACTGATCGACCACCTCGGTACCAATGAACCGGACAAAAACGTCAAAGAAAAGAGAAGTTATTTAGTTCCACAAACCTCGGCAAGCTTGCAAGATAGGCCAGTAATCGAGTTAAAGATGAACGTTCGATTTCTGCTGCTTTAGATCTTGCCGGAAACGATATGATAGGACCTCCTCGACGGTCTCTGCCTCCTAGAAAACAAATATTCATAATTTACCATTTTACTCCTGTGACACGGGGCTTTATGACAGTACCATCCTTAAAATCAAGGAACTAACGAATCAGAAAAGCGGTGTGCAAATTGGATATCGCAAATCATTAAAGATTTGCGGTGAACTAGCTAAATTTATAATATCACCATAGTTATCGATCGGACGCGCTATATCGAGCATTTGTTGACTCCACACGGTTTTCGTAGTAAAAGTTTATCGCTTCGACAATTCAAACAGACCAAAGAACAATCGATTATAGAAGAGGAGAGGTGTAACTTCTCAGACAATTCATAGAATGACACCGTTGAATTCGACAATGGTTGAAGATGACCGCTACAAACATGTCACATGCGGGCTTACCGTACAAAATCGCAATTTTCTGCTGAAGTAAGTCGAGGATATCCTTAGCTCGCAATCCTTCCCATCTGCCTTCTCCTTAAAATATAAATAATTCGGTGAAAGAGAGGAAAAACACCACGGTAAAACACCAACAATAAAAAAGTTGCGCCACGGTTTGCCCCCACATGAGCCTCTCTCAACAAATACACTCTCTCAGCCGGCGTGTTTCCAGAACTCTGAAAAACATTTACCTGAGCTGAATATTGAGGACAAATCGCTGTCTGATGAGGCAGTTGACCACCGTTCTGGTGTATTCATACTCTGTTTTATCGTTCGTACTTCATTCTGTTAGCTTTACGATGACAGTTTTGGCTACGGGGAGCCATCTTTCCTGCTGTACTCCTGTATTGTAGTCTTGTGACGTCACGCGTAACGAATTATGATAATTTATGCAAAGTCACAACTTCTCGTCTGTCATGTCATCGACAGGAAAAGATTCATATTTTGCACTTGACAAAGTGATAGCTTCACCTCTGCCTGAAAATTTCTTCTCTCAAATTTCATCTATACATATCACTGGAAAATAAATTACTTTTTATTTTCAGAGTTGGGCCTCTCCCTCTTTCTTTTACGATGTGAAACATCCGGTAAAAGAAAAAAGCGATCACTTTAGGAAATTAGGAGCGAAGCTCTTTCGCACATTTCGGAAGTTCAAAAATGTCTGCCCTCATTTGACCTCGCCTGAAAGGAAGGCCGCTACACATCATCGCAGCTAAGTGATACTTAAAATTGCTACGTGCAATTTTGGGGCCAAAAATTGGCTCAAAGTCCTACAACCTATCGGTTGTTTTTCCCAGTTGAGAATTTCGTGGAAGTTTGTTCAGAATCGCGTGCACAAGGTTTGTTGATGTAAATAAAAGGATAATTATCTCACTTAACTGCAATATAGTTGATCTGATTGTATTGGCTAAAAATAACTTTTCACTGTGGATAAAACCATTGCCCACCATTGTAAAACTACATCGTGTGACTAGACAGAAGACAGCGGTGTACTTTTTTGACGAAAACCTTGGCCGTAACAGTGAAAGCTTACAAAGTAGTTTCAAAGCAAACGACAGAGAAAACGGCATACTGAAATATAGATACAAGACCGACCTCCAAGCCGCTCGTCTTTCAATACGACATGACCGCAAAGTGGTTTATCGAATCTTAATACTGGTGCGGTTTCACAAAGAATCTGTATAAATTGGAAAATGTACAATAAAGACCTTATGAATAACTCTGATCTTTTAAGCAATTAAAATGTTACTTTCTTGAAAGATAGTTCTATTTTTCTTTCGTTCACGCGACCCAACTGGTTCAGCTACACGAGCTTTCGGCAAGATCAGAAGACCCACAGCAGTCATAGCACCTAAGACTTTGACTAACCAGAAGGATATAATCCCTCTCTTTAAACATTTGTTTGTTTTCGATTACAGCGTTGGTCAGATTTCTGTCGTTTGCAGAAATGACATATCCAAACGGATGGGGTGTAGGAGGGGGGGAGGGGAAATGAATGGGTCACGAAAATGCAAAAGGACGTTTTAAAATGTCTGTAGAGCTAGCAAGTCTATAGACGCAATTCGGCACCGAAGACGAGGACACAAGTTAAAAACCGTAGAAAATGAAATACAGAAAAGCTGAATCCTTTTTATTTCCACCTCCAACCCCCCAACAGAGATCTGCCCTCAGGCGCGGTGTTAAATCGACAAAAATTTTCACTGTCTTACACGTAGAGATAGCAATGAAATATAGGACTGTGATATTTTTTACCTCTCTCATCACTTATGTGCAACTGAAAATCAATATTAAGAAAAGTTAGTTTTCTCTTGGCACAATCAGCGCTTAAATGGTCCTTTATCATATCGGATCGAGTGATTGAGGTTTTCGAGGCGCCAAAGTTGTCATCAAATGATCAATCTTAAATTTCATCCACGCACAATTTACAAAGCGAAATAACCCGCAGAAATAAATTACGATAATTTCAAGAATAGTTAAAGTATTCGGACTCGAGAAGATGAGAGTTCCTTTATTTATGCACGACAATTGGATTAAAGTTAGAGACAATAAAATCTCGTATTGTGCTTTGTCTGTTTGAGCTCGGACCACCCTGCGCAGTCTGATCTTGAAAATCAATGCAAAGACAAATAATCTTCACACAGGATCCACGCTTTTGTGACTCTTGTAGATTTTTGCGTCGGCTGTCCTGGTTGAGAATGGAACAAATATGATCTAATTCCGCCGGAAGAAAATGAGTTTATCCTGCTTGGTGCAAAATAGTGGGAAAAGGGCAGAACAACGAGAGACAAGAACAAGTCAATAATGCTTATGATGTCTTTGATTTTGATCCTGGTTACTTAAAAAACAGAAAACGTCTCTTCGATTGTTTAAAGCAGGTCTCACGAGGTTTAAAACTCTATCATAACACTCGCAAACGCAAACCTGGCACAGGTATGTAAACTTTTTTTTTTTCCAGCCAAAACAAAATGACCTTTGCTTGTAAATCCACGAACTACTCTTTGTATTGATATTCTTCAGAATATTTCTTTAGTTCAAGAATTGCACAGTTATTATTTAGTCAGTAACACTCTTACTTTGAAAAATAGAGGGAACGTACATGTACAGTTTTAAACCTCTTACACATTTGCCGATGTTGTTGACAAAGTAAAGCCTTTTAAAGTGCAACTGACTCATACTAGCTCTCGGCGCTAAACTCCGGTTTCTGTGGTATAAAGAGGCCGGTAGTATAACTACTCCCCCTGGGTGGAATGCTAGTCCATCGCAGGGCCCCAGCATTTAATTCGCCGGTACCCATTTATACACCTGTGTGGAGAATCTAGAGAGGCACTGTGAGAGTAAAGTGTCTTGTCTAAGAACACAAAATAATGGCCCCGTCGACTTCCATTTTGATGACAAAGACATGATAAATTATACAAGATATGTTCAACCTGTTCCAAGGATCTTCTTGATGTTGTCTTCCAAGAAGAAGACGCGAAATTGAGACCCTGGGATGTTGTTGGGACGTATCTTTTCTTCCAGTGTTAAGTTGCGTCGAAAATCGTGTGGAGGAATTTCATTTTCGTTCAATAAAGCTAAACAACTAAAAACAATGAGTTGTTATCACAGATAATTCCGTTTTGTCAAGAGGGGATTTCCTCCGTTGATTTTTGATACTCTTTCCCCATTTTACTGTAGTTTCCTTTTCTAAATAAACGTACAAATATCTATGTTCGTAAAGAGTAAAAACCCTTTCAGTGCGAAAAGTTCTAAAAGTTATCGAACCCATTTAAGTGCTATTTACACGGGCAGTCACTAGAATGGTTTACTTTTGAGTTTGATTTCACTTTGTTAGTCGAAAGTTCTTGACATAATCTAACTCTGTAATCTAACTTTGTATTCTCAAGGTCCTCAAGTAACACAAGGCGAATGTATATATGCTCAATTTTTATACCAGAGATTTTGTTAGTTTTTGGTTAGTATTTATAGCTAAAAGAATTTAAAAGAGGCGATTAACTGAGCTTGAACATCCGTGGTACTACGAAAGAATCGTGTTCTTTTCCGTATAAACAAACAAAGTACAGTTTGGGTGGAGTTTCCGGAATAAAGACTACTTTTAGCTATTCTTCTTTGTTTTAAAATCTAAGCTTTCAAGAAATTACACAATGACTCGCCAAAGTCGCCAAAATTTTGAATCCCTCTTGAGAACTTAAGGTGTAAATTGGCGCCCTTGTCGAGATTACTGGAGTTGATACAGGGTGGAGAAATGGAAATTAAACAGACCTACAAAAAACCCGTTGTTTTGAAATAAATGGTTTCAGTTTAAATGTGTTATATGTGTTTTAGTAATAAAGTGGTTAGACTTTAAGTCATAAGTGATAATTCTGATGAATTTATTTTCTTGCCTATTAATGATGGTCGAAAATGGACCAATATGGTCAAAAATTCAAAAATACCAATTGCAATCGCAAGTAATTTCTGTAAATTGGAAGTTTTGGAATCTGCAAAGGTGCTTTTAATGTCACTTGATTATTTGAGAACTTTCTGCGCGAACGAAATGGATCCTAATAATTTAAGGTGCTTCGTATATTTGTCTTTGGATCGTCGTTCTTCCAGTGTTAAAGTTTGCAGAAATATAATTAACCCTTAGATATACAGTTGAAAATTCGTTGAGGGGAAGTACAAATCTGCAGCCCAGACTTGTAATAGAGAAATCAGTAAGCTTTGCAGATAAATAATTGGCCTTGTAATTCCACATAAAAGCCATATTTTTTTGCCACCGACGGCAGATTTTACCGCGAGGTCAAGAGCGTAAAATTAAGTCGAAACGCGCACAAACAAGTTACGTTGAAAAGTTTTGTCAATTTATATTTTAATAACGAAGCGTAACATGACAAGCTCCGGCAAGTCTCTCTGAAAAGCCATTAAGGAGCAATGAGAGCAAAACGTTTTGTGTTAGTTTTTATGTTTACCGAGCAAAACATATCATGAGAAGCTCCGTTTTCCTCGACAAGTCTCGCTGAAATGAATGCTGACAGAAAAAAAATTCCACGACAACTGATCTTTGGCAACTTTTTAACAAGGACATTTGTCAAATCAAAACTGGTCTAGTTTGGCCTTTTAGAAGACGAAATGGAAGCCCTCAACGAAATTTGAGTTAAATTTTTCCGGTCCTAAATAAGAGAGCATGAACTTAGTAAAGGAGCAAGCTACTCGTTCTAAATCAGTGCGTTGGCGTTTTAGTGTACGTGAGAACACGCCGAGTAAGGTCGGATCAAAGGATTCACGATCAAATGACTCGTAAGAGTCATTGTAACCAAAATCCCGGCCCTTCAGTGCGCAATGAAGCTTAATGAATATAAATAGTGAAGTTATTGTTGTTGTGCGGTCTCTCTCAGGAGTATGTATTCAGTTTGTTAAGCAATATAATATAACAAAAAAAAAGGTCAGACCTAAGAGCAACATTTTATTTCGCGCTTTCTCTTACCTCGCAAGACAAGCAGCTTTTAAAAGGACAAGGCAATTTTCATAACTTAGAAGCAAATGCCATTATTTCAGTCGCAAATTGGAAGGTAACAGAATATAATCAGTAACTTGCCGTTTTTAGAGGTACCCTTAGATCTTTGTTTGCTCATAATAAAACTAAAATTGTTTCGATTCCAAGTTCTTACATATGTTTTGTCATTGTTGCTTTGCCAAAATAACTTTTCCTAAAGTTTCCAGAGTGAACGATAGCCGGAGGTCCGTAGGCGGAAAATGGCGGAGTTCAAAAAGGCATAAACCGTAGACAAGGTCTCAGTAACAGAAATGTCAACATAATATATCACATTTCTCTAAAGAAGCCTTTCAAGTGCTTTTTTTCGCCGAAGAAGAGACGCAAAGAATCAGATCAGGATGTTTAGCGCACGTGCTTGTGTTTTGCGTGGGTCTTCCCATGTGCTCGATTGCAGTTACAAAGATTTTATCACGGGAATAAGCCCCTGGTTTCCGGTGTATAGGTAACTCAAAAGTGTGTGGGAGGAAGTCGTTGAAGGCCTTTAAAAACCGCTAAATAAAAACATAGTTTGACTTTTGATCGTGTTGATAACAAAATTTTCGCTTACGGGAATATTATCTTAGTGGAAATTTTATACAGACGACGGCTTTGCGCTTATCTGGACAAGGAGAACTGTTCGTCTAGGTTAAACATTGAGTACTATCTTTTGATTAGCCTGAACACCAAGAGATGATGGAGTCATGATGTCTTTATAAACTCTTTTCAAAAGCAGGGCAGTGGGTAATGTCGGCCCAATTTATATCGCTTTTGTGGATTGGTCGGACCAGTTCAGGCTGAAATCTGTTGAATTTATTTTAATGCAGAAGGCAGTACAAACAAGGATTTTCATCGTTTCGATTCGGTGAACACACGAGCGCACGAGCGTGCGCAATAAGGAACCTAGAGTCTGAGAGGATCTGGGGACGGCAGAGAGTGGAGATATGTGCAAAATTGAGAAATGGCAGAGTTCGCGGAACTTTCGAGACTTTCACCAGCCATCATTAACCACTAAGTTTTCTCTCGTGTTATGCATATACTATGTATCTAGATAAAAATCATGTCTTACAAGGAATTCACCGATTCGGAATGGGTACATAAATGACCGCACGTAGCTGGTCGACATATTCTAACGTGACAACTTGAAATTGGTGTCCGTCCAGTGGTTTTGCTACAATTTTCCCGATTTTTCGCATTTTATCATTTTAATCATTCTTCCTTGAAAAACTGCTGTACCTGGCAAGAGAAAAATCTGCCCTGAATCTTTAGTACTGCAGCCGGTTTACTCTCTGCCCTGACTTGAAGAAAGCTAATTTGATTTTTAATTTCTGCCCGTACCGTACGAGGTGCTGACAAATTTGAAAAAAAAAATCTCCTCACCAATTAATTTCTCCACATTTAATTTGATTAATAAGATTAAATCTAAGATAATACTGAGAGATATGGATTTAATTACACAACAATCAGGGAAGTTTAAGTTTCTTGTTTTTAATTCATGCGGGAGAAATTAATTCAATTATGAAAAATATACTGAATTAATTATACAGTAACCGCGAAAAAGTCAATTTCCTTGTCTCTAATTTATTGTTAATTATTCGGCCACACCGATGACGTAGCTTTTTGGATGTCTCTGATTGGTTCTTTCTGTAAGCATACTAAACCAAATTGACTTCTCTTTCGCTTATGGTGTGTGGGGTGGGGTTATCCTGGATTTTCTCCCATTACGATCAACAGCAACTATGGTTTAATTGCCAAATTTCTGCTATACAATGCCATCATACTCCAAGTGGACCTGGTCCAGTCTTTGAATTTAACCCTATAAACGTGTAAATAGTGCGGAGTAGGGATAATTCAGGCCTTCAGTAAACGAACAGCTCCCCTAAACCTAAACATACAAACTGAAATCATTTGATTTTCTCTCCAAATATTCCGTATAGTACGTAAAACAGAACAAATTTTCCGGTTCGGCAAGGCAGTTTCCTTTGATACCAATTTCCTCACAATGTAATTCCTGCATCTGTGTGTTTGAGTATGTAATGATTATGTAATGATGTTACAAAATGGAGTGAGCTGTAGGTACAGGTTTGGACGCGGTTCTGAAAGTGTCGACTGCATATCACGAGCTAACAAACATGAGATCGCCTCAGAGATCGGAAGTAAATCACGAGAAGGCCTATGCGTGCCTAGAGCCGATCGCCAACATAAACATAGCTTATTGAACTGAAAGTCAAGGTAAATTATAGGCTTATTTCACGCTATTTCAGGCGATAAATAATACTAAGTTGACCCTTTCTCTAATTAGCGGATTAAACTGTACAAGTGCCAAAAGAAATGCCAAGCTTATAATAATTTCTACGAAATAAACATTGCCTAGAAATCCTTTATCTTAGTAACTTCTAATTAGCTCGTTTCCTTTTGTATTATGACTTACAAGAATCAGTAATACTTATATCCAAAACTGACGGTATATTCAGGCGAACCTAGGAGGCGCAAAAGTCTGTATTTATGTAGCATTTTTTTTGAGTCAATCGCGATGTGCCCCTCCCCCCGGCCGAAAAAATAAAAAGATAACAAACTCTCCAACGACTGAGCTCTGGCAAAATTCCTTCTTTGCGGCTAATTTCTCTCACGAGTATCAATTTTGTTTCTCTTGCAAATTCGGGCGTCGTTCATCAATATCTTCAGGGAAAAACTATACTAGATTTTTATACTCGGCCATAAGCTGTCAGTTTTAACGAAGTGTTCCTTAGTGCTTCATCTACCGTCTTCAAATTGGGTCTGTAAAATAATTTGTCAGGCATTTTAATTGTAAGTAGGCTCGATTTCCGCCACTATCTCGAGTACGATGTCGATGTACGTTCCTCGCCTGCCTTCGGGGGAGGAGCGCGGGCTGCTTTCCCGAACAGCAGCTGGTAACCGAACCTCAACTGTTAGTTTTGAAAACATATAAACCCCACGAAACTCCGCATAACTGTAAACTGGCTTCAGAAATTATTTCACTTGCTGTGGAGTTTCACAAATACGCTTTACTTCTCACTCTATTTCAATCACTTCACACACCAACGGATAAAAGAAAAGAGGATCCATTGACAAGACCTCAGGCAAGGATGGAAATGTTTTTGAGTGATGGTTACGGAATTCTGATTTCCGGATGAGCTCTAATCGGATTTTTTAAGGTAACTAGAAAATCCTCACTAGGTAGAAATGGTTTCACGTAATATTTCAGTTGTAGTTGACTGCTCTATGATATAAACCGTTGTGTCTTGTTGACTTTCAAGTTTCCGTAATAAAATAGCAAGTGAGTGCTTTCACTTTATTTTCAAATACCACAATATCTGTTTTGTCAAATGCGTGCATAATAGATGTTTTTTCTTTGTGGTTACTTCTGTTTGTTTTTCTAGACGAATGCATTTTAATTGCNAACCTGGCACAGGTATGTAAACTTTTTTTTTTTCCAGCCAAAACAAAATGACCTTTGCTTGTAAATCCACGAACTACTCTTTGTATTGATATTCTTCAGAATATTTCTTTAGTTCAAGAATTGCACAGTTATTATTTAGTCAGTAACACTCTTACTTTGAAAAATGGAGGGAACGTACATGTACAGTTTTAAACCTCTTACACATTTGCCGATGTTGTTGACAAAGTAAAGCCTTTTAAAGTGCAACTGACTCATACTAGCTCTCGGCGCTAAACTCCGGTTTCTGTGGTATAAAGAGGCCGGTAGTATAACTACTCCCCCTGGGTGGAATGCTAGTCCATCGCAGGGCCCCAGCATTTAATTCGCCGGTACCCATTTATACACCTGTGTGGAGAATCTAGAGAGGCACTGTGAGAGTAAAGTGTCTTGTCTAAGAACACAAAATAATGGCCCCGTCGACTTCCATTTTGATGACAAAGACATGATAAATTATACAAGATATGTTCAACCTGTTCCAAGGATCTTCTTGATGTTGTCTTCCAAGAAGAAGACGCGAAATTGAGACCCTGGGATGTTGTTGGGACGTATCTTTTCTTCCAGTGTTAAGTTGCGTCGAAAATCGTGTGGAGGAATTTCATTTTCGTTCAATAAAGCTAAACAACTAAAAACAATGAGTTGTTATCACAGATAATTCCGTTTTGTCAAGAGGGGATTTCCTCCGTTGATTTTTGATACTCTTTCCCCATTTTACTGTAGTTTCCTTTTCTAAATAAACGTACAAATATCTATGTTCGTAAAGAGTAAAAACCCTTTCAGTGCGAAAAGTTCTAAAAGTTATCGAACCCATTTAAGTGCTATTTACACGGGCAGTCACTAGAATGGTTTACTTTTGAGTTTGATTTCACTTTGTTAGTCGAAAGTTCTTGACATAATCTAACTCTGTAATCTAACTTTGTATTCTCAAGGTCCTCAAGTAACACAAGGCGAATGTATATATGCTCAATTTTTATACCAGAGATTTTGTTAGTTTTTGGTTAGTATTTATAGCTAAAAGAATTTAAAAGAGGCGATTAACTGAGCTTGAACATCCGTGGTACTACGAAAGAATCGTGTTCTTTTCCGTATAAACAAACAAAGTACAGTTTGGGTGGAGTTTCCGGAATAAAGACTACTTTTAGCTATTCTTCTTTGTTTTAAAATCTAAGCTTTCAAGAAATTACACAATGACTCGCCAAAGTCGCCAAAATTTTGAATCCCTCTTGAGAACTTAAGGTGTAAATTGGCGCCCTTGTCGAGATTACTGGAGTTGATACAGGGTGGAGAAATGGAAATTAAACAGACCTACAAAAAACCCGTTGTTTTGAAATAAATGGTTTCAGTTTAAATGTGTTATATGTGTTTTAGTAATAAAGTGGTTAGACTTTAAGTCATAAGTGATAATTCTGATGAATTTATTTTCTTGCCTATTAATGATGGTCGAAAATGGACCAATATGGTCAAAAATTCAAAAATACCAATTGCAATCGCAAGTAATTTCTGTAAATTGGAAGTTTTGGAATCTGCAAAGGTGCTTTTAATGTCACTTGATTATTTGAGAACTTTCTGCGCGAACGAAATGGATCCTAATAATTTAAGGTGCTTCGTATATTTGTCTTTGGATCGTCGTTCTTCCAGTGTTAAAGTTTGCAGAAATATAATTAACCCTTAGATATACAGTTGAAAATTCGTTGAGGGGAAGTACAAATCTGCAGCCCAGACTTGTAATAGAGAAATCAGTAAGCTTTGCAGATAAATAATTGGCCTTGTAATTCCACATAAAAGCCATATTTTTTTGCCACCGACGGCAGATTTTACCGCGAGGTCAAGAGCGTAAAATTAAGTCGAAACGCGCACAAACAAGTTACGTTGAAAAGTTTTGTCAATTTATATTTTAATAACGAAGCGTAACATGACAAGCTCCGGCAAGTCTCTCTGAAAAGCCATTAAGGAGCAATGAGAGCAAAACGTTTTGTGTTAGTTTTTATGTTTACCGAGCAAAACATATCATGAGAAGCTCCGTTTTCCTCGACAAGTCTCGCTGAAATGAATGCTGACAGAAAAAAAATTCCACGACAACTGATCTTTGGCAACTTTTTAACAAGGACATTTGTCAAATCAAAACTGGTCTAGTTTGGCCTTTTAGAAGACGAAATGGAAGCCCTCAACGAAATTTGAGTTAAATTTTTCCGGTCCTAAATAAGAGAGCATGAACTTAGTAAAGGAGCAAGCTACTCGTTCTAAATCAGTGCGTTGGCGTTTTAGTGTACGTGAGAACACGCCGAGTAAGGTCGGATCAAAGGATTCACGATCAAATGACTCGTAAGAGTCATTGTAACCAAAATCCCGGCCCTTCAGTGCGCAATGAAGCTTAATGAATATAAATAGTGAAGTTATTGTTGTTGTGCGGTCTCTCTCAGGAGTATGTATTCAGTTTGTTAAGCAATATAATATAACAAAAAAAAAGGTCAGACCTAAGAGCAACATTTTATTTCGCGCTTTCTCTTACCTCGCAAGACAAGCAGCTTTTAAAAGGACAAGGCAATTTTCATAACTTAGAAGCAAATGCCATTATTTCAGTCGCAAATTGGAAGGTAACAGAATATAATCAGTAACTTGCCGTTTTTAGAGGTACCCTTAGATCTTTGTTTGCTCATAATAAAACTAAAATTGTTTCGATTCCAAGTTCTTACATATGTTTTGTCATTGTTGCTTTGCCAAAATAACTTTTCCTAAAGTTTCCAGAGTGAACGATAGCCGGAGGTCCGTAGGCGGAAAATGGCGGAGTTCAAAAAGGCATAAACCGTAGACAAGGTCTCAGTAACAGAAATGTCAACATAATATATCACATTTCTCTAAAGAAGCCTTTCAAGTGCTTTTTTTCGCCGAAGAAGAGACGCAAAGAATCAGATCAGGATGTTTAGCGCACGTGCTTGTGTTTTGCGTGGGTCTTCCCATGTGCTCGATTGCAGTTACAAAGATTTTATCACGGGAATAAGCCCCTGGTTTCCGGTGTATAGGTAACTCAAAAGTGTGTGGGAGGAAGTCGTTGAAGGCCTTTAAAAACCGCTAAATAAAAACATAGTTTGACTTTTGATCGTGTTGATAACAAAATTTTCGCTTACGGGAATATTGTCTTAGTGGAAATTTTATACAGACGACGGCTTTGCGCTTATCTGGACAAGGAGAACTGTTCGTCTAGGTTAAACATTGAGTACTATCTTTTGATTAGCCTGAACACCAAGAGATGATGGAGTCATGATGTCTTTATAAACTCTTTTCAAAAGCAGGGCAGTGGGTAATGTCGGCCCAATTTATATCGCTTTTGTGGATTGGTCGGACCAGTTCAGGCTGAAATCTGTTGAATTTATTTTAATGCAGAAGGCAGTACAAACAAGGATTTTCATCGTTTCGATTCGGTGAACACACGAGCGCACGAGCGTGCGCAATAAGGAACCTAGAGTCTGAGAGGATCTGGGGACGGCAGAGAGTGGAGATATGTGCAAAATTGAGAAATGGCAGAGTTCGCGGAACTTTCGAGACTTTCACCAGCCATCATTAGCCACTAAGTTTTCTCTCGTGTTATGCATATACTATGTATCTAGATAAAAATCATGTCTTACAAGGAATTCACCGATTCGGAATGGGTACATAAATGACCGCACGTAGCTGGTCGACATATTCTAACGTGACAACTTGAAATTGGTGTCCGTCCAGTGGTTTTGCTACAATTTTCCCGATTTTTCGCATTTTATCATTTTAATCATTCTTCCTTGAAAAACTGCTGTACCTGGCAAGAGAAAAATCTGCCCTGAATCTTTAGTACTGCAGCCGGTTTACTCTCTGCCCTGACTTGAAGAAAGCTAATTTGATTTTTAATTTCTGCCCGTACCGTACGAGGTGCTGACAAATTTGAAAAAAAAAATCTCCTCACCAATTAATTTCTCCACATTTAATTTGATTAATAAGATTAAATCTAAGATAATACTGAGAGATATGGATTTAATTACACAACAATCAGGGAAGTTTAAGTTTCTTGTTTTTAATTCATGCGGGAGAAATTAATTCAATTATGAAAAATATACTGAATTAATTATACAGTAACCGCGAAAAAGTCAATTTCCTTGTCTCTAATTTATTGTTAATTATTCGGCCACACCGATGACGTAGCTTTTTGGATGTCTCTGATTGGTTCTTTCTGTAAGCATACTAAACCAAATTGACTTCTCTTTCGCTTATGGTGTGTGGGGTGGGGTTATCCTGGATTTTCTCCCATTACGATCAACAGCAACTATGGTTTAATTGCCAAATTTCTGCTATACAATGCCATCATACTCCAAGTGGACCTGGTCCAGTCTTTGAATTTAACCCTATAAACGTGTAAATAGTGCGGAGTAGGGATAATTCAGGCCTTCAGTAAACGAACAGCTCCCCTAAACCTAAACATACAAACTGAAATCATTTGATTTTCTCTCCAAATATTCCGTATAGTACGTAAAACAGAACAAATTTTCCGGTTCGGCAAGGCAGTTTCCTTTGATACCAATTTCCTCACAATGTAATTCCTGCATCTGTGTGTTTGAGTATGTAATGATTATGTAATGATGTTACAAAATGGAGTGAGCTGTAGGTACAGGTTTGGACGCGGTTCTGAAAGTGTCGACTGCATATCACGAGCTAACAAACATGAGATCGCCTCAGAGATCGGAAGTAAATCACGAGAAGGCCTATGCGTGCCTAGAGCCGATCGCCAACATAAACATAGCTTATTGAACTGAAAGTCAAGGTAAATTATAGGCTTATTTCACGCTATTTCAGGCGATAAATAATACTAAGTTGACCCTTTCTCTAATTAGCGGATTAAACTGTACAAGTGCCAAAAGAAATGCCAAGCTTATAATAATTTCTACGAAATAAACATTGCCTAGAAATCCTTTATCTTAGTAACTTCTAATTAGCTCGTTTCCTTTTGTATTATGACTTACAAGAATCAGTAATACTTATATCCAAAACTGACGGTATATTCAGGCGAACCTAGGAGGCGCAAAAGTCTGTATTTATGTAGCATTTTTTTTGAGTCAATCGCGATGTGCCCCTCCCCCCGGCCGAAAAAATAAAAAGATAACAAACTCTCCAACGACTGAGCTCTGGCAAAATTCCTTCTTTGCGGCTAATTTCTCTCACGAGTATCAATTTTGTTTCTCTTGCAAATTCGGGCGTCGTTCATCAATATCTTCAGGGAAAAACTATACTAGATTTTTATACTCGGCCATAAGCTGTCAGTTTTAACGAAGTGTTCCTTAGTGCTTCATCTACCGTCTTCAAATTGGGTCTGTAAAATAATTTGTCAGGCATTTTAATTGTAAGTAGGCTCGATTTCCGCCACTATCTCGAGTACGATGTCGATGTACGTTCCTCGCCTGCCTTCGGGGGAGGAGCGCGGGCTGCTTTCCCGAACAGCAGCTGGTAACCGAACCTCAACTGTTAGTTTTGAAAACATATAAACCCCACGAAACTCCGCATAACTGTAAACTGGCTTCAGAAATTATTTCACTTGCTGTGGAGTTTCACAAATACGCTTTACTTCTCACTCTATTTCAATCACTTCACACACCAACGGATAAAAGAAAAGAGGATCCATTGACAAGACCTCAGGCAAGGATGGAAATGTTTTTGAGTGATGGTTACGGAATTCTGATTTCCGGATGAGCTCTAATCGGATTTTTTAAGGTAACTAGAAAATCCTCAGTAGGTAGAAATGGTTTCACGTAATATTTCAGTTGTAGTTGACTGCTCTATGATATAAACCGTTGTGTCTTGTTGACTTTCAAGTTTCCGTAATAAAATAGCAAGTGAGTGCTTTCACTTTATTTTCAAATACCACAATATCTGTTTTGTCAAATGCGTGCATAATAGATGTTTTTTCTTTGTGGTTACTTCTGTTTGTTTTTCTAGACGAATGCATTTTAATTGCTCGGACATCAGTGCAGAGGACTTCCGTACACAGTCAGTTTGCGGATTTAAAACCATCCTCATAATCAACGAAATAAAACTAAATTGAATTAAAGATTATAAAATCCTCTCAAATTAACGAACAATACAGAATGGCTTCCAAATTCTAATTTTAATTATGTGCTAAACTTTTTAAGTAGGATTTTTGTCCGCAAATAACTAATTAAAAAATCCTCCTCTGAGATAGTTTCACGTAGAGATCATTGTCTTTACCGCACTGTTTCTCAAATCAAATATTGGTCAAATCATTACATGCTGTCAACTCTCTCTAATACAGACAGTGTCGGGACCTATAGCAACCATCCTTCTTGGGGGATCTTCCCTTAGAAAGCGCCCGCGAAGCAACCTGGCACTAGTAATGGAAAGTAAGGGCTGTCTTTCAGAAGCGACCTTATATCTTAGGGGTCGTCTACTCTTCGATCAGCGTTCTTTTTTCCGCTGTGACGGTGGAAAAGAACGCCTGATCGCGGCAAGGTTTTGTCTGGTTTGAACTATTCTATAGGTTGTTGTAAAATTGAAACGACTCCAGGCATTAGGCTTCACTCCAATACGTGCATAATGTTGACAACTCTCACAGTTTGAAAACGAAATCCGGATGTGGGTAGGTACCGTAAAGAGGTTGCTCCCCCAAATCGAATTTGATCTCGTATTCAACATCAACTAGTGTCTCCTCGGAAGTGTTTGTTTTTTTCTTTTAACGAAAGACAGGTTCTCAGATGTCCGTTGACTGTTTTCCGTTATCAGGCTTAGTTATAGTGCAATGACAGGAGAGCAGAAAGAATTACCAGCTCTTGGAGTGACACTCAGAGAGGGTTCCGTCCGGAGAGATTTCTTGTCCAATGAAATTATCACCGGAGATTAACTGCCTGCTTACTGTGAGATTTTGTTGCCGAAGAGATTTTTTTAAAGGGATTACTTTATCGACGGTAAAATCTGGACCCTAAGTGCATATTGTACATAACTTCTCATTTACATCACAACTCGATAAACGGAACAGTTTCTGTGATTCACTTGCATCTTGACTCTCTAAACGCGCCCTGCCTTCTGCAAGCTGTTTTTGAGGTATCAGTATGAGAAACTACTTTGTCCTCTAAATGTTGAACTAAAATTAAGCGTTGACATATGGGGAATAAACGGTTTCGTTACTGGTATTATAGGAAATTATTTAGGACCAGCCTTAGCACAATCCGTAACACAAAAGGGGTTGAGCTGGAGATTTAGAGAAATTGCCGGATTATTGCAGCCATTAAAGAAAAACACAGATTTTCTCCAGAACTTTCTTTTTCGCCATAAATCGGTCCAATTGACCATTCTTAGCCTCTAACGAGCAAAATTTCGCTCGATGAAGGAATTGATACATTTTTGGTTAATTTCTTTGTCTCACTAATATACATTGTTCTTGTCTTTGCAGAGATTAATAGTGAACAACTGAATGTGAGACTGAAACAGATCATTATTCTTAACGTATAAAATATCAGACTATTGACAAAGAAACACGTAAATTGGCACATGAGCGTGCTACAAACAGGTCAACAAATCGCATCGAACGCTCTCATTGGCTATAGGCTTAAAATAAAACTTTCAAGTTAAATATTTGAAAATAATATTACATTAGTTATATGCATGGTCTATTGCAGTAACCTCTTTTCTAAGTGGTGATATTTTAATCGACAGGCAAGAAATTTAGAGTAATCTTTCAAATGACTTAAATGGTTTAAGATGATCTGTTCAGTATAGCTAGAAATGCTATAAAACAGATTACAGATTATTGACTAATTAGCAATTTTGTTCTTAATTGGAGCTGGAGACAGCGCAAACAACTTGGAAAATTCTGCCAACAGTTGAAAATAACCTCCGAAATGCCGAAGTCTATGGAAATTGTGCAGTTATTTCCTATCCAGAAATGATTCTTATAACGTTCGGAAACAGTTGATGAGATGTAAACACCAGCCTCGCAAGTTTCAATAATTTTGAAGTGAAAAAATATATATATGCGGTAAAATTCAGCGCCACAAAAAGTAATCAGCTGATTTACGAGAACTACATGAACATCCACTTGTCAAGATCAGACAAACATTCCTCAATTTTTCCAACTGTATTAGTTAATTCG